TTCTCGCAGTTGGTTGGTTCTTCAGTGAAAAGATTTTTGTAAAAGGGAGTGCATTCTTTCAGCATGCCCTGAGAGGTTGTAACCGTAGTGTTATTGTCAACGTGTAACACGTAGATCTCATTGCTTGACTGGCGGGAGTTTTCTAGCTGCTAGAAATACCACGTCGGTTTTTCACCTAGCTTGGTCCACTGTTCCTTGCTACAGAGTATACAGCCCTCAATAGCTTCATCGTCCATTGCCCTTAAGAGATCTTTGATCTCGAGCAACCTGTGACAGTGATCGGCATTGTTTGGATCAGCGCATGATTGAAGGTTGCAAAATTCCCTTTCAAGAGCGGCTTGCTTGCGCTTCTGAGTGTTGACAGCAGAAATGCTGTGGGAAATGGCAATTTCTTTGAGTTGTAGTTTACCTGCATCCCACCAAACACATGGATCGGTGAAAACAGCTTTTTCTAACTGCCGTTGAGGCCAAAAATTATTCACTTCGGCACAGAAATCTTGTGATATTAATGGCCGTGTGTTAAATTTCCAGACACCTTGCCTGCGGGAATTTGAATGCCCCAGTTGTATTGTAATAGACACCATATGGTGGTCAGAGTACGAAAAAGGGTCGCACGTGTGGTTTCGCACTCGTGATCTCCACGTGATCAGAGCATAAAAGCGGTCCAAATGGCAACTGGCCCAGTGTGGGCCGTTGAACTAAGTGAAGAGTTTTTTAGCCAAATTTTTCTCTTGGAAGACATCTTCTAAAGAAAGTGAGTCTACAAATGCGTGCAGATGCACGATTCCCTTATCTCCAAAGTGTTATCACCTCCCCATTTATTTAGAAGGACATCTGGGGCACAATGGAAGTCGCTAGTCATAATAGTGTCAACATTACAAAAAACGAGACTCTGCAATGTGCCGAAAAATGTCTCCCATTCTGAATGTTTATTAGGAGCATAAACATTGATAAGTTGAAAGATTCGGTCACTACGTTTGAGTTTGACAACTAGAACACGACTGTCCGTGTCTATGTTATGACTAACAACTTCTATTGAGCTCCCAGGATGGAGAAGAAAGCCCACTCCAGCCGATATATTTGTACCAGGAGACCAAAGTGCGTAATCGCCCCATTGTTTCTCTCAAAGCTCGTCTTGTGTGACATCGGGTAAATGGGTCTCCTGGAGGAGATAGATTTCAAAGTGTTGATCTAGTAAATTTTTAAATACTTTCTCTCATTTGCGATGTTCAGCGATGCAGTTAACATTAGTCGTACAAACAGACACCACCATAAGACGTATAGTATGAAATTGAAGGTGAAAATGTTAACTGTTCTTGAAGAGCTTATATGAGAACTGAACGTTCTTGAAAAGGGAGAGGAGTTTCGCATAGACGTCTTGCGGGACAGTGCCTTCAAGATCTTTCCAAGCGTCCATGGTGGCCTAGGATGCTTTATGTTTTCAACCTTTTGTGTCATCGTAAGGGCCATATTTATGGTAGAGGTAGTAACCGCGACACTAGTAGAAAACCGTGGCGGGTGCAGCGTGCATGAAGAGGTTGCTATGAAGACCTGCTTGGGCCAGTGCTGTGATGAAATGTTTGAGGTCTGTCCCAGGGGATGGTTGGCTGGGCGTGTTGCTGGCAGATGTAGTGGACTGTGAAGTAGAGCTGGTTGGGGAAGTGGCTTGGTTGTCAGTGATGGTCTTTCTGGGTGCCTCTGGTTCTTTGTTGCTCCCTGAGGGGGCAGGGAGTTCTCGTTTTCGCCCTGTACTGGCAACTAGTCTCGCCATTTCCTCTTGTTCCTCCTGCATGGCCTGGTTGTAGGCTGTGTCATAGCACTCCTTAGCGCATATAGCTTCAGCGAAATATAGTGACGTCTCCGGCTGCGTAAACAGAGATGGGGCTGTGTCCGTCCTGCCCTCAGGGGTCTCTTCAGCATTTTCCACGTTTTGGTCAGGGGGAGGGTTTTGTTGAAAATTTTGCCTCATTGAGTATTTGAAACCAAATTCATTGCCTGCAAGGACCACTTTTTTTGGGGATATCTCTGGAGACTAAATAAATTCGGCCAAACGGACGCCTTGCTCAATGTGTGTAAAGCCTTCTTCCTAAAAATGAAGGCGGCAAGTTTTATGTTCATCGTATTTCTCAAGGAGAGAAAGGAAGTCCTCCTGCGGAAATTCCACCAACACAATCGGAATGTGGATAGTTTTTGTGCCTAAAAGACAGAGGGGTCTTCTAATTTCACCATAATCAAAGCCTGAGTTGGCCAGTTAAGCTGGTGCCTCTGCTGTGTTTACAGGGATGTTGAAGCATTTTCCTCCAAACTGGGGGACAATGGCACAGATGTCCTTCACAAGATCAGGCAAGGATTTTGCAATCTCCAAAGCGTCGGTTTCCGTGTCATCATCGATCATTAGACGTACAGTGCGTCGGTGGGGAAATTGGGGCCTGGATCAAATGAGCGCGATGACGCCGTCGGGGGCGAAGAAAGATGAAAAACAGACACTGCCGTACTCACCACCAAAGTTGACACGTACAGATAAGGGAAACACGTGAGCAGTACTGAAATAATGGCCCAGAAAAAACTGTCAAAAACGAATCTCCGAATGGAAGAGAACTGTCCTGGCTGTTGCTCTAAGATCTAATTTTTTTTTTAAATATAAAAGCCTGGAGACCAGGCAATTTAATTAAATTGATCCACGATCCTAATGGTACAAAGGTAAGTAAATTAACAAGCACTTAAGTAGTACAGAGTTTGAACGTACAGAGTTCAATTGTTCTAGTTACAAAGCATAAATCAGTTAATATCAATGTTCATTTTCTCCTACAGGGAGACGCAAACAGCGCACAGGCCACAAGGGCCCAGAGTAAGCATCCGCCTAGTAAGAAAGCTAATGATAAGTGAGAACTAAAGATAAGTGAGAGCTATTTACAAAATTATAAAGACGGAAAGAAGGAAAGATCCCCATTAGAGTTTAGAGAACATAAGGAATTTTGGAAAGACCGGAAATTCCTCATGGCATCAAGGCGGCTATTACAGATCCTAATTTGGACATCTTTCTTAGCAAGGTTAATCATTGCATCGGAATAGCCCTTTTTACAGTTCCCGGCACCATATTGGATTTGTAACCGTGCAAACATGATAGCGAGGTTAGTGTTGAGTCGCGGAAGATTCAAAACAGCTGATAGTAGTCTTGGAGTAGCCTTTGTAGTGGGATTTCACGTTCTTCTTTGCGATCGTTCAACCGAAATGGTTTTAAAATATAAAGATCAGGAAATCGTGTCACTCACTGATATCCAACGGCTTACAGCCAAAGATTTACGCATTATTTTGAGATCTCATTCAGAGTTGCCAGGCGGGACAAAGGCCGACTTGGTGTTAAAAGTTTACGCATTGCTTATGCGAGAGATTTTACCATCGGCAGCGAATAGTGACGAAATTGAAAGCAGTGGCCAAAGCGACGAGGAGTTCAAATACGATTCGATGATGAGAAGGATTTCAGCACTGGGATGGTTGACAGATCTAAGAAATTTGCCTGAAATGAACGTTGTTCAGCTATACGATTACGTTGTAGTCTTGACGCGCAAGTTTCGTCATATCGTTCTAAAGGGAACTAACTACAAGAAACTTAAGTCTTACCAGTTCTTCTTCGAAGGGAATGTCAAGAAGTTGGAATGCAAAAACCACGACAACAAAAGGTACGTCAGGGCGAATGTTTTACCTTCGATGAAGAAGACGCCATACCGAGTTGTGATAGAGTTCTCACCGACTTGTGATATTCTGCGCGCTGCTTGTACTTGCCCCGCTGGACTTGGATTACAAGGCAAGGGAAAGTGTAATCGCGTCGGAGGAGTTCTTTTTGTCATCAAAGATTTTTCCAGGAGAGATTTACAACAAAACCCAGAACTTTTAACCTGCACATCTCGCTTGTCAGTCTGGATTGTGCCGCGAAATCAAAGTGTTGCCGCGAAACCGCTCGACAAAGTACTGATCAGAAAAATCAGATTTGGAAAGCAAAATATTCGCACGCGGGCCAAAATCATAAAATTTGATCCCAGGGCATCACAACAGCGAAATTTAAACCATGAAAGCTTCAAAAAGCTTTGTAGTGAACTGCAAAATTGTTTGCCATCTAGTTCATTTTTTCTCTTCCATGACATTAAATCGAAATGCTCAGGAGGAGACAATACTTGTTCAGAAAATGAAGCAGAGGATGATGATGCCATTCCCTTCACTGATAGCTACGATATTGCAACGAATCGTTTTAAAGACATGGTGGATGAACATGTGTCATCCTCGACTATCAGTGAAGAGGAAATAAAGGAAACTGAAATGTCAACAAGGGGACAGAGCCAAAATCCCATCTGGTTTGAAAAGCGAAAATCAATTGACAGCTTCAAATTTTGGAAAGGTTGCAAAAACAAAAGTGGAACCTTCCAACAAACTGAAAGCAATGCTTTACTCAAATTTTACTACAGAGGCAGTGCAGTACAGTATTGAAAGTGAGGAGAGGGCTGTAAAACCGTACCTGAGAGAAATGCAGCAGCAAGGATTCAATCTAAAAGTGGAGGAGGTTGGCCTTTTGGTGTCTAGGAGAAAACCATACTTGGGAGCAAGTTTGAACAGGATTGTGACAGACATGGACCAGAACAGCAAGTGGGGTATGGAAATTAAATCTCCTTTTAGTAAAGCAGGAATGGATGTCGATAAAGCTCGTAAATAAAAAACCTTTTGCTTGGAAAAAATGTCTGATGGAATCATAAGGTTAAAAAGAAACCATGACTATTATGTTCAAGTACAAGGTCAACTATATTGTTCAAACCTAGACCTGAAAGGAATTATTTTTGATGATAGTTGCTGGCATGAATATCTTCCAAAGATAGATTACTTCTTTAAAAGAGCCTTTTTTCCAGAAATGTTGACCAGGAGGCTTCAACGTGGAAAACTGCTTTACATTCACGGTGGATGGATTCCATATGAAATTATTCCTGCACATCAAGTGGTCTGAAGTTAACATTTCAAAGAGCCCATTGACAATAATTATATTATTATTCACAGAAAAAAATTAACTGTTTGACAGATAAAATTATGAAGCTCCATTCCTTGCTTCTTGTTATACTGAAATAAAGATGTAATTCAACTCTTATTTGACTTTCATGTAAATCACTTCCCTTTTTTGCACAATATACAATGGTGCCTTGTCTCGATTTCATAGGTCCAACATCATCTTATTTTTCCCTGAACAATGACAACATTAATATTTCCTACTGTAAAGAGAAATATTACACCTAAATCAATGAAAGAATTAAAAGGACCATATCAATTTTTAGGCTTGGAAGTGTTGCTATGGCTACAAGCTTACATAACATCATTGGCCCATTCAATGTTTTCTTAACCCTTTAAGTCCAAGAGTGATCAGCATCAAATTTAAATTTTCTCTTCGTAATAACAATGTTACATTAAGCCGAGTAGTCATGAGAATTAAGGACATGATCACACAAAGTGAATCTGCTTGATATTTTAACAAATTCTCCCAACTTCTTCTATAGGAAATGTATAGGGGCACGAAATGAGAATTTAAATTTTGATGTAAGGGTTTAAAGGGTTAAGTGATCAAAACATAATTTCTCTTTACATGACATTCCTAGGCTACAGAGAACAAAAATTAGTTGCTTCATGATACAAGCACATGTAGTGGTTCTTTAGCTGGTTCTAACAAAGGTGGCAAAAAGTTTGTCAATAGCCCACAGACCACTGCTATCTGAGTGGCATATGGACTAAGTGTGTTGGGCAGTGTACCATCCAAAATGTGGGAAGTCTTAATTCTGCTGATTGCACACTCCACATGAATGCGCACTGATGCAATACTCATTGTCTCCTCAGTTTCTGCCGCAGTCATTTGTTCTCGTCCAGCCAAGAAAGGTGGCATGTTGACTGAAAGACCGTTAGAAATATCAAAGCCATGGTCTACCATGACATTGTTGCCAGGTTCTAACAAACCCAAAACCCCGCTTTCCTTTGTAATTTGTTTATCAGATACTCGCCCACCCCAGAGGTCTGACAAGAAACTCACTTGGCCATTTGGGGTTACACCAACCAAGAGCTTCCAAGTGTTGTGGTGCTTGTAATCAGACCATGTCTCAGACTGCGCAAGCATTGCCGAAGGATGTTGTATAAAAAGTTCTGTACAGTCCAAAATAATTCTAGTTGTTGCATATTGAGCAAACTCTTGTGGCATATTCTTGCGAACCAGTTCTTGCGCTGGAAATGGGAAAAGGTCTTTTAGTTCCACATATAGAAGATTGATCCATGTTATGCAGATTCTTGACACCAGGCTTCTGCTGATCCCAAATCTATCAGTGAGATCTTGTACAAATAACCCAGCCTTAAGTCTCATAAGAACAAGTAAAAATTCATCCAAGTATGAAAGTTTTCTTGAAGGCCCAGGTTTTTTCTGTTATCCTCCATTTGGTATGGCTGACTCTCTTTAAAGAATTTTCTCTCCTTTCCAGTACTGCATCTTTTTCAACTTCTGTTCAATGAAATTGTAGAAGCCTGAGTGCTGCATAGTTTGGAAATCTAGTATAAAATAGAACTGCTGAATCATCATCTTTAATTTTGTCCAGTGAAAACTGGCGTGCCAATAAAATCTCCCTCTCTTTCTCAACCTCAATAAGTTTTACTTTAAAGTCAGCTAATTCTACTTTAAGTTGCTCGATTTCCCATTGCAGCTTAAGGACATCTGATTCTTCCCGGGCTGGTGAAGGTGAAGCAGTGTTGACAGTTGACACGGATGGTTGAACTTCTGGGCCAAAGAATTCCTCTTCAACTTCACATGACTCTTCTTGGGTTGTAACAGTTGCTACTGGGACCCTTACAGCAGGCGGTTTCTGTGTTTTTTTTGGCACTGACCAGTTAAATTGAGATGGTTCTGCCCCTACATATAATAATAAAAAAAACATTTTTTTTAAAATAATATTATTAATTATATTATTAAAATTTACATTCAGTTCACAAAATATCGTATAAGACCACAGAGCACATTGAGATACAAATATCAACAGTTTATTAAAAAGTCACAGTGTAAACACTACACGACCGAAATCAAAACCAAAGCTGGCACTCCGACAAAGGGCTTTCTTTCAGTATCCAGGCAACAACAAAACAACTGAACAAACATTACAAACCTTTCACTAATTCCCAGCAACCTGCCAACGTTTTTTGGATGTCTTTTTTTTGAAATGTTCCGAGCACAAAAAAGTTGATTTTGTGACGAAGAATCCATCCTTTCCATGCTGGCGCTTCATAAGATTGCACTATCTGTTTCGCTGCTGAACGTCCTTTGGAAACGAGAAGAAGTGGAGACCTGTTGGATTGCCTTTTGCGTCATAATAGCTATTAGCACAGCTAAAAGCAGCACAGTGTCTTCCTCTTCTTTTCGAAGAGGAAGGAGGAGTATCCTGCGTCGGGAAAGTGTCGTTCATTGTCAAAATATCTTGATGAAAACAACAGAGCGCTGCCACACTTCACTATAATCTCCCTAAAACTCGCAACGCGACTCAACACTAACCTCACTATCATGTTTGCGCGGTTACAAATCCAATATGGCACCAGGAACTGTAAAAAGGGCCATTCAAAACAACATCTAAAAGTAGCACGATTTCTAGCAAACCAACACCAATAGATAATCGTTGCCATTAAATATTCAGAAAGGGAAGCACCAGTAGAAGACTGGTCAGAAGAAAAAGGGTAATACACCGATGCAGAAAAGACAGAAAGAGGAGAATCAAGCAAAATACTGAAAAGTGGGGAGAAATGGTCCCAGACTCTGACCACTCTGGGACATTCCAAGAAACAATGCTCGATTGTTTCAGGCCTGTTATATATCGCACACTTATCATTAGTAATGTAGCCCCAAGATTTGAACAAATAATGCATGTGAACAATCCTATTAATTAGAAGCCAAATGATATCATTTTTGTTATTTTTGATCAATTTGAGTCTAGATTTATGCCACACCCAGGCCCAACGGTCAATGGGGCGACCTACTACAGAGCCCCAAAAACTGGAGCACCAGTGTGCACCGCAAACAGGATCAAGAAGCAAGAAATACAAATTCTTACAAGTCAAAACATCAGGTAAGGCACCAGCCTTTTGATGTAGGAAACGAAAACTATCTAAACAAACATGGTAATAATTAGAAGGAAGGGACGAAGAAGGACATAAGTTACTTGGGAAACAAAAACGGGAATCAAGAATAGTTAGTCTACGGCCTAAGAAATAATGTGCAAGATAATGTTACTTACAGGTGCCGAAATCATCCCTAAGGCTTAAAAAATCAGAAAGGCACAAACTAGCACACTTAACTTTAAAATTAACAATGTTAAGGCCCCCAGATGCTAGGGGCGCACAACAATGATCATGACTGACATTTTCCATTTTGCCCCTCCAAATAAAGGGCCACACAATAGACTTAAATTTATCATGCACCCAGTGGGGCGGGGGAATGACTTAAGCAACATGCCATAGGCAGCTCACGGCCAGGACATTAACAATTAGAGCTCGGCCTACAAGAGAAAGATCTCTTTGTTTCCAGAGGCTCAAGATGGAGCTAAGCTTATCGAACTTAGTCCGCCAGTTGTCATCATCAACACCGACCAAACCATTAGAAAAAAAGACACCTAAAACTCTCATTTTGTTTACCCACTTAAGCCAAAGGTGGAATCCCCCCTCACACGCCACCTCCCATGCCCCATTGCTTCTGACTTGGAAGTATTCAATTGAGCACCTGAGCCCAGTTCGAACTTATGCACTACCTTAAGAAGAAAGCAAAGAGATCCTTCCATTTTCAAAACACTTGCGGCATCATCAGTATACTGTGAGATTTTATATTGAAGGCCCCTGGCTCTAGGGAACAGGAAGTCTTCAATATCCTAACATCTACGTATCTGTGTCAATAAGACTTTCAAAACCGAAACATAAAGTAGACGCGAAAGCGGGCAGCCTTGTCTAACACCCCTCTGAAGAAAAACAGGGGGGGACAGGGAGCCGTTAACTAAGATACAGGAAAAATCCTTGGCATAAAATAATTCAACCCAATTACAAAAGGAAGGGCCAAAGCCAAACTTCCGCAGAACACACATAAAATCATGATCAACACGATCAAAGGCTTTCTCCTGATTAAGAGAGACAAGAATACAAGGCTTGTTGGTCTTATCAATCATATGAAGAACATCACAGAGTGAAGACAAATTAGAAAAAATAGTGCAGCCAACAACACCACACATTTGATCTTGGTGGACAATAGAACTCATTACTTTCTTCAAATGTTCTGTAATAACCTTAGACGCTAATTTGTAATCTGTATTCAATAAAGAAATTGGGAGCCAATTTTTCAGAAAACGCTGATCATTTTTCTTATGGATAAGGTGTAAGAGACCCTCATAGTGACTATCAGCAAGACAGCCAGCACGAAAGGACTCGTTTAAAACAGAAACGAGAGAATTGCTGAGATCATCCCAAAAACAAACATAAAATTCTGTTGAAAGACCATCAGACCCAGGCAATTTGCCGGTCTGAAGACCTACCAAGACGGCAAACAACTCATCTTTGGTGAAAAAACACAAATCACGCTCAAGATCTGTCAAAGAGAATTCTAGATCCTCCTATTGGAGGAATCCCGAGTGTAACCTTTATGTGAAGAATCGCGGTCGCGATGATCTTTGTGTTCTCTTTCCCTACGCCGATCATCCTTTTTCCCTGCACCGATCATCTTCCCTCTCACGCAGTCTATCTCTGGAATCCTTACGATCCAATGCACCTCTCTCTTTGCGTGGCCGATCATCGCGTGAAAGTTGGTTGCATGGCCTCTTGTCACGTGACAGGTGTCCATGCAATCAATCCTCGCAGGAATATGGTATTTTATCTTCGATCGTCTTACGGGAACCACGCCCTGCATGTGGAACTTTCGATGCTTGATGTTATTGTTTTTCACGCTCTTTCTTCCTCTTCTCTCGCTCCGCTTTCAGGTTTTCTCGCTCCTCTTTACTCCGTTTTCCCCCACCCCGATATGCCCCAGGCTTGACCGCAGGCAAAACATAAAGCGCACATAGGGGCAGTCAGCCATGCAATGGTCAAAAGCTTTACATACATCAAACCTCAGAGCATCTTCGCAATCATCAGTTCGATGGCCCGGCTGCTCGCAATTAGAACAACGAACTGACGCACAATCCTTAACCAAATGATCTTTTCTGCCACAATTTTGGCACGTTTTCAGTTGGGAAGGGTACCAAACATGAATACTCACCAGCCAGATTGAATATTGGGGGAATGTGACGGTGTAACTCCATCCTTGGTGTTCACATGCCACTTTCGATGTTGTCAGCAATCTTGTCTCGACGATAGCTGAGAACTCCACCATAATGGGACAAATGACCAATTAAGGCCATGTCTGGCAGCTCAGCTGGGGCTTCATAGATTTTGACTAGGACCAAACAATGCTCACAGCTGCCCAGAAAAACAGTAGTACCGTTAATCTCAAAGTTAGTGGCTTCAAGTGCGGCCTTTTTAGTTACCTGCGAGTCGAAGGTCACAACCCAACTCTTGTTCGATGCTTTTCTCTGGATACAGGTGATCTCATCCACATCAACACCGGCCTTATCGAAGGTAACAAGGATTTCCTGGCTAGTGACAATGGTGTCAACTGAGAAATAGATTGAGTGGTTTCTAACCAGCTTGGCCCGATTGTCTTGTAAACCCCAGAATTGCACCAAATCAAACTTCACACCCTTCTTAGCTAAATGCTGTAAAACCTCAGGGACCTCAACTAAACCATGCTCCACATTCGGTTCCGCAGAACTAGTAAACTTACCTATTTCCTGAGGACATTCCAGACTTCCCATTCTAAGGACAAGAAAAGGAACAGGTCGCAAGCCTTCTGATCCTTGCCAAAAGGCCGAGATGTAATACCGGACCTTCCCTCCCGTAGGAGGGTGGTCTAGGGTTTCCATCTTTGAAATATGGTAGTCAATATGCTGTGGCTGCAGGGCCCGGAACCAACTGTAGGCCGACACTTTGGAGCAAGTTGCCGATGTAGATGCACTTGGTCTACAGCACAAGTCCACAAAAATCAGCAGCAAAGTTGATAACATCCCTCCGCGGGTGAGTGAAATGAAATGCCTTTTACCCTCCAAAACTAGGCAACATGTTCAAGAGCCATAACGACTCCGTTACTAAGATAGCGCTACAGACACAGGCAGAAAGCAACAGCTATGTTATCAACATTCGCTCTCCACATGCATACAACTTGCAGAGAAGTCAAGAAATGCCTGCTAAAAGATTGCTGGTTGGTATTATTGCTTTGCTTTTGCTTTGGTGGCTCATTTAAAAGACTAAATTTTCAGCCCTTTCTCTTGTGTACGACCATACCACAGGGAAAGCACCGGTTCTTATCCGATCACCAAAGTTAAGCCCTGTCAGGCAGGGTTAGTACTTGGATGGGTGACCGCCTGAGAATACCCCGTGTTTTAGACTTTTCATTTTCTCGGCCATTTTATTTTCCATATGTTCATTTTTCTTTCTTTTACTACCAACTTTGGCTGTTCCAGTGGCTGGAAAGCACAAATAACTTTTTACAGAAATCAGGAGGCTCAAAAAATAGCTACCTGTGAAACGATCGCAGGATAAATTAGAATCTAACTCTTGCGCACTAACGTTCGCTTGGAAAATGGTTATTTATGACATCAAATTGGCTTGTGTGACATCAAATGATTGGAAGCAAAATGAATTCTGCCTTGCACAACAGTTTTCAAGCAGCTTAAAGTGCAGAAAACTATGCCAATTCCTAAAGAAATGCACCCGATCAACAACGGCAAAGCATACAACACACGCGAGCTGTTTGCAAATTAATGGTAAACACAGAGGTAGTGCTATACCGAGGCAACCTGTGGCTGGGACGAGGCAAGCCTCTTTTCCACGGCCCAGTTCCAAAAAATCAGTTTAATATATGAGCTGCTCAATGAGCAGCGTATTAGATATTAAGCTGATAAGAACATTTTTTCTATGCTATGGACCAAGGAATTTGTTAAGAGACACTAGTGGATGAGAGATGGATAACTAATTTACTATTATCAATAACACAGTGCTTGAGGTGACACCACAGCTTAGTAAAATGATCGGTAGAGTAACGACTGAAGTCAACCTGAAGCCTAGTTGTGATATCTTGGTTGATATATTGTACAACGGTCTGGGGGGATTTGGTGCCAATGTGAAAAGTTGCTTTATTTTGAAAGGTCCAGAGGCCATAAAGTATAGTCATAATAATATACAAACCTTGGTGGTTTCTCATGGGTCCAGTAGGGGCCCAGAGATAAAAGAAAATAGTCTTAACATTAGCGACAAATGAAATCTTTAAAAGGGCAGAGAGAGTGGGGCAAAGACCGACCACACACCCTTTGCCCTGGGACAATTTAGGAAACATTGGTCAATTGTTTCTTTACGTAGACAGTAGGCACAAGTATCAGTAGTTATATAGCGCCATGACTTGAGAGAGTTACGAATGTTAATTCCTCTAAGGGTAATTAACCAAGCAATATCATTCTTAAAGTTCTCAGTAAAATGATCTCACAGTGAGGACCAATGACTTCATATAGATAAATCATAACCGATAAACAATCGCCAATAAACAGGCAAGAGGGGAGCGGACACTGTTTCCTGTAATAATTGTACATAACAACTCTTGGCACATATGTAAAATTGCTTTGGTTATTGATCACACATTCCAATCCAGTGATAATCTTAAGACACTGAGTGTAAAAAGGGGTGGGTTTCAAAGCACTAGGGCCAGAGTTGTCTCTGAGATGAGACCACTTCGGCTGTAGTTTAGCCAGCTTAGTTAAATAAAATGTCTTAGAATCCTCCCTAACTATGGTGGAAGCTACCACGGACATCTTTACTCTTAAAATGGGTCTATTATTCCCAGGCCGCCAACCTGGACTTCCATAGGTTCAAATTCTTTTCTAGGTTGTTTAATTTAGATTGCCAATTATCTGGGTCAACGTTAGCAAGACCATTCCTGTACCAGACACCAAGAATTTTCATTTTAGTGACCCATGTGAGACCTAAAGGTGTATCAGGGCATGCACACCATGCCCCTAACCACATAGCTTCAGTTTTACAATAATTCAACTTAGCTCCTGATCCTAGCTCATACCTTTTGAGTATGGAAACAGAACACTGAGAGAGAATAAATCCTTGACAAAACAGGAGGAATCATCAGCGTACTGTCTAATCTTAAACTGCTGGCCTTGAGCCCCAGGGAGCAAGAAACCTTGAATCTTATTTTCCGCTCGGATATTAGTAGCGAAAACCTCAGCGCATAAAATATACAGCAAGGGAGACAGGGGGTCTCCCTGCTGGACCCCATGTTCTAGTGGGATTTTGTCAGTCAGGACGCCATTTACTAAAATTTTCATTATAGTGTCTTGATACAAAACCGAAATCCATCGTTGGAAAACAGGGCCAAAGCCAAATTTCTGTAAGACATTGCACAGGAAGGAACGATCAACTGTATCCAAAGCTTTCTCTTGATCTAAACTCACAAAAATACCTGTCTCATTAGTCAGAGTAACATAATGTAAAGTGTCTCGAAATAATGGTAAATTATCAAAGATTGTTCGTCCTGGGATGGAGCAGGTTTGATCCTCCTGAATGATCGATGTTAAAACTTTTGACAAGATCTTATAATCAACATTCAGTAGGAAAATAGGTCTCGAATTTTTCAGATTTTTTGGATCATCTTTCTTAAAAATCAGGCGTGTGACACTTTCTTGCATGGAAGAGCTAAGGAATCCCTGCTCGAGACTGAAATTATCGAGCTCAAGCAAAATTGGGCACAGCTTATCCCAGAATTTAACATAAAATTTCTGAGGGAATCCATCCGAGCCAGGAGTTTTCCCTTGAGACAAACTGTGGACCGCATGGAAGATTTCGTCAGCCGATAAGGCACGTTCGCAGAGTTCTATCAGTATCATTCAGGAGAACATCAAGGTTAGACAAAAAATCGCGTTGAATGTGAAAATCTACTCCTTCACAAGAGTACAATTTCTGGTAGAAATCATAATGAGCGGTTTCAATTTCCTGTTGTGAGGAGACTTCGACCCCATCAGCATTGTAAATAACTCAAACAGTATTCTTTTCTGCATGTGTTGACTTAAGCGCAAAAAATATTTCATCAGTGATTCTCCTTCTAGCCACTGAGCTCGGCTACGGATTTTAACAGCTTCATTTTGAAGCAGATTAATTGCCAAAAAATCGCCAGCGATAAGGTCATGGTTAGCTTTTGTCATTAAATTGGTTGCTGTCATTTTCTCACGATTCAGATTCCTTTGTTTCCGTTTGCTAAAATCCTGAGCAATATCTCTAAAAGAATTCAAAAAATCCCACCAGTCATGTAAGGAAGAAAAACATCGCTGATATTCCACACGTTCAGAAATCGTTTTAGTTGTCATTTCGCAAAAATGAGTGTCCTGACACAAACCTAAATTTAGCCGCCAGACATAAGGACCATCAGAGGAAAAATCTTTCACATCAAAGACTAAATCAACAGAGTTGCGATTGGAAAAGAAGGAAGACAAAGTGCACTGGTTGAGATTACCGTGTATTTTCCTCCACATTCCTGCGTAATTCTTTCAATTCATTAGCAGAAACAAAATTGCCGCTGAATTTTATCTTTCTCGCTTTCAATACAGTTAAAATCCCCAGCCAAAATCTTGGCAGAGTTCCGGCAAAAATAATCTCTAATAGAATCAAAAAACAATTCCTCTCACTCGGGTTAGTCTCGCGTAAATGGGCGAGAACGCTCAAAACCCTGCCAGATGTATCTTTCTTCCATTGCAATACCTCAAATTCAGTCTTAGGAGAAACCAAAAGAGCTACACCTCCCTGTTTACCGAGCACAGTGACCAGAAGCTTCTACAGGACCGTTTTGATCGTAAGGATGTGACTACATCAGGTTGTGGTGCCAGTTTCT